ATAAAATAAAAAAGCATGAAAAACAATAAGTACTATCTTGTTATGAATTAAAAAGGTTGTTTTGATATACGAATAATAGTTCATATTTAGCTCAACTGTTCGACGAAAGTGAATCGTAAGTACCCATGTTCAAATCTACTTCTCCGCATATGTTCGATAGATTTCGATGACTCGAAATTTATATACGATGGGTCTCGACAACTCGAAATTGAGACATCTATCGGATAAAAATTCTTTTTTTCGATGAAATTCCGACCCAGCGGAAACGATTATTCGAGTGGTTGAAAATTGTCAGTAAAAACAACCTATCACCGAGCCCTCGACCCATCGGAAAATGGCACTTCCAGGGGTCGATTTGAAATTTCGATGCCCAACGAAAGCCAAAATCGACGCATCGAAATACCTTTCGAATGTTTGGTTGGGTATGGTGCACTATCACTCAATAAAATTAAAGTAGAAAATCATAGATTTAAGACGAAGATTCATGCAGGAAAACTGACATCATGTTGAACTCTACTTCGGTATGTACATATATTTCGATTTAGTCAAAAATTATTATGGAATTTATGTTAATAAAAAGATGCTGATCTTTATTTTGTTTTCATAAAAAATGTATTCTCATCAGTTCTCTTTGAATATTGTGGATAATAGTTTATTAATTTTTAAACAATCTATTCTATGTGTAGCTGCACGCTACTTCTATAACCCTGTAAATACCTTTAAAAGTAAACGAAGATTATCGATCAAGGGGATTACATAGAAGATAGTCTTTTTCTTTGTTTCATTTTATTTAAATTTCTCATAAATATTATTTAAAAACTTGATTTTCATATGACTTTTTAAATAATAATTACGTAAACACGACACATTTAAATTTAGTGTGTAAGAAAGACAAATATAAGACGCCTGTCTCATTGGCGCAGATGATGCAATTGGAAGCGAGTAAGACGTTCGAATTTCTGAAATCGGTCATCCGTTGACACTTGAAGAGCCTAAGTTAGCAATAGATCAAGCATTTAGAATTAACTCAAAGTGTCTTGTATAAGCGGACGAACCGTCTTGTTTATACACTTCATATGTTTTGATTTTTTCGAGTGTGGGCAATAATAATCAACCGAAGTCGAAGACCAAAGTTATTGTAACGTTTTGATTGGTTAATATGAAATTATACATCGAGTGACATCTATAGATAACCAATAAAAGCATTCGAATTACTTCAGCCTTTGGCTTCGGCCGATTATTATTAGCCAAAATTTCCAGAGGTACAGTTCAAATCATGACTGACATGCTATAGGAAAGCCTCTATTGGCCAGCAGTCCAGGCATGATAATGAGCTACTCGCTTCTCGCCCGTGATCCTTTTTTCCTTCGTAGCTTGTTGTTGTTTCGTCTTTTTTTCTTTCTTTCTCCTCTGTTTTTTCGTCGCACGATAAATCGTCACCTCAGTATTTTCATCGCACATATTTCTATCATTATTTATACCGAATACCTTTGTGCTGTCTGATCATCTATTTTAGCTGCTATTCGGAAGCGCTCACGGTTGCCACAAAATACTTCTCTCCTGTTTGCCGATCTACAGTCACTTTTCTATCGGTCTGCACATGAACTTAGTGAGCGCATAGCTGCATCCATCCACTACCATTAATAGTCATGTGCAGCAGTGATGAATACTTACATTTTCATTCTATGAGTCATCAGCATAAATGCAAAGCATTATTGATAAGTTAGAGTCCTGTTGTTGCTGATCACTGTCGCCAATGTCAGCATGTACTCAACTGTGATCTGTGTTGACTTCATTAGAACGATGATGACACAGATCCAATTGAAAGTGGCACAACATTGGTGAAATATCCGGCCGTCCACCAATGTGAAAATTTTTCTCATTGTAAGCGCACATTTTAAGTCGCATAAAAGCGCTTAGAACTTATTTAAATGCCTATCAGTAGTTTGCGGCAGCTGAAAATGTTAACTTTTAAGCCTTTATTCCTTGCTTAGAACATCAGTATTGAACAGTAGCTGATAGGTACTTAAATACGGTAAAATTTAAGCGTTTATAAGCTACATTAAACCTAAGCTGCTGCTAATCGCTTAAATTTTGCCATATTTAAGTATTTATCAGCTACTGTTTAGCACTGAAGTTTTAAGCAAGCAATAAGTGCTTAAAAGTCAACTTTTCAGCTGTCGCAAGCTGCTGAAAGAGCTTTCACTAATATTTTAATTGCTGATAAGCACTTAAATAAGTTCTAAGCGGCAAATGTAAGCTGTGTTAAGCTAGCTTTTTCGCTCTAATTTTTACATGGGCAGTCGCCCGCTTTTTTTCTAAACCTTTTTGTGGCCAAAAAGTTCCGTTCATATTTTCGAGAAGTGGAAAAGTACCAAAAAAACATAAAGCTTGATTTTTTGCAAATTTCAATCTATTCGAAAAAGATTGAAATCTAACAGAACTATGCCTCTATGAGTTAAAACATTTGTAACTTCAATGTTTCTGTCTCTTCGAATGAATGTCTAGTTTTCTTCTTAAATCTATTTTTGATTAAGTTTTATCACTTGTTAAAACAGTTCTGACACTCTGATCCTTCCAACTTCAGAAGTTGTTAAAGGAGCATCCTGGAGAAGATCGAAGACCATCCCCGTATACAATTTTTAGCATATTTGGTTGAGCTGGTAAAAAGTTTGCCAGATTGAACTTCCGAGCACTAACGATGTTATTTGAAGAATATCATCAAAAATCGTTCATATAAAGTTGTCCTTTTAAAGATGACAATCAACAAACGAACTTTTTCGTGTTATATACCAAATGATGAAGCATCGAAATCTGAACCAAATTAGCTATTGACATATTATATTTCAATGGAGTGATTCCGAATTATTTGTCAAATACTCTCTACAACTAGTGGTTTTTCGATAGTGCTCGAAAGTCTAATTGGGTTAACTTTTTATCCGCTCAACAAGATGCACTAAATACTTCAATTTAGAGGTTTTAGATGATATTGATTAAGATGAAATTATCAAAATCAAAAAGTTAACTTTTGATGAGCGCTTTGATTTCTCGGTAGGCTCATGAACTTCCATTCCATCTAGGTCTAGAATTAGTTAATACAAAAAGTTCAATAAATTTATAAGAATTCTCAAGTGTTCTGTCTTTTTCAACGAGTTTGGTCCATTTAAGTATGGGAAAGTCCATATGGTTGTCAACAATTGAACTCATCATATTGAATACACTTCAAATTTGACTGTTTAGTCTATATAGTCATTCTAGTTACGATTTTTACAATTTTCAACGTAGGTATCATATGCGGGTTGAATGAAACTGAAAGAAAAGAGAAGTAAGTTTTCTCTAAGCCGCTCTATAGTGGTCAAATTATGGTTCACCATAATTCTCAGTGATCACAATCTCGAAGAAAGTTTTATATATCAATTGATGCGAAACTTTTTTGGGCTAAAAGAATATCACATCAGATATCTGAGAGCTTTTGATTGAGGCTACGTTTTGTCGGAAATACATGACAATACATATACTTAGGGCGTGCCAAAAGTTCGTGTCCCGCTATTTAAAGGGCCTCGTCGGATGGGGTGTACCGATTCAGAAATAAGAAACAAACATATCATCTTGTAGAGCTTTTCGAGCCGGATAGAATGGTATATAGTAAATCATGTTTTCATAGAACTTTGAAGAACCTAGAGTCAATTTGCTGATAGATGGCTACACATTCACATCCATCCATATCGGCATCCATACCCGAGAACCATAAGTTAATGATTATTGTGGTTCTTGTTATTAATTGAAAGCATTTGTAAAACATTGTTTCTCGCATGCGGCTTTGTAGAGGTTTTGACGGGCTACAACCTCATATACGTACCATCTCTGGTCATCTTGTGAATGTAGACGTGAGTGTGGATGGGTGTGAATGTGTAGTCGTCCATCAGTAAATTGTCTCTAGGTTCTTCAAAGTTCTATGAAAACACTATTTACTATATACCATTCGATGCGGCTCGAAAAGCTCTACAAGATGATATATTTGTTTCTTATTTCTGAATCGGTTCACCCATCCAATGAGGCCCTTTAAATAGCGGGACACGAACTTTTGGTAAGCCCTAAGTATATATAAATGTTGACATGACTAGTACAAGTTCAACTGGCTGTAGATCGCCCTTAGGATGTAGCAAAATGAGCCCAAATATACAGCTATGTAGAGCAATAATCACTCTATCATTTGAAATGTTACATGGTTTTCATCACCTTATAGTTTTGAAGATAATCCAAAATTACAAAAAAAAAATTATCGCTTTCCTCGATTCTAGGTTGGCGAGGAATGTCAACATTGCTCGCATGGTAATTTTTGATAATTACATCGAGGAACTCTAACATTCTGCATTTCCGTGTAGTATCATAGAAGCTTCCATTCTGTGTAGTCAAGGTAAACAATAGAAAATCATCATATTCACATTGTATTTCGAGAGGAACGATTTTTTTTATAAAGGCTCTCTCCTAGGTGTCTTTCCAAACTAGCAAACTGTCTTCAAGACTGGTATGTTGGCAAAAAAATAAGAACATAGCTCTCAATAGAATTAAATTGAGATCGTTCAAACATCTTCTAGCCTTGATAACGAAAAGTCAATGACACGTTTTTTTTAAACAATTTCTAGTGTCACTTTACATAATGTTGTGTAAATAACAAATATTGTCGACTTGAAATTCGTTTGAAGTGTCGTTTAGGTGAGTGCACGTTGTCATGTCTTAATTTTGATCGTTCTAGACAAGTTTTATTCAATTACTTTTTCTGGTTTCCTGAAAAGATCTGTTGAGCTCAGCGAAAACATATGAAGCATTGTTTTTTGTTTTATCTTTTTTCACTATTATAAATAGAACAACTATATAAGTAGGTCTCATAAAATAGTTTATGTTGGTGGCTAATGGTAAAAATGATGGATCGAATATTGCTCTTTGTATGTAGACGATCAGTCAAAGAAATATAAGTTAAAAAGTGAACGAGAAAAGACATGGCTCAAAATTATCAACAAGTACAACAAATAACAGATCGACGACAATCAACAGCATTGCCTATTTTCTTCCGAGAAGAACATGATCGTCGTGTAAGTCTGTGTATTAATGCTCAACATCGATTATCGACTGTATCACAAATATATTTGCCAAACGGCACTGAATATCATCCGCAATTACTACTTCCACCCAATGGTCTTGATGCACCTCAACAACTTTTTTTGACGGAAACAACTGAACAAGATAATGAAACTATGCAAAGACGTCGAATATCAATAATACCTCAAAAATATCCACCACTACAGGAAACTATTAACGAAGAGGATGTGCCCGAATTCAATCAAGAACCAAACAGTCAACGCCGACGTATATTTTTATTCTTCGCCCAGCCAATTGTCAGTGGTTTACTTGTACTTCCAATTCTTGTTCTTTTCTGGCAATGTGGTTGGAATTTAACGTTGATTGTTTTGAATCGTTTAAATAGTTTTGCGTCGGCATTACATTTGAAAAAAATTGATTTAGAAGAATATGCTGATTATTCACGACGGTCTTTATTAATTGTATATACGATTGCACAGATTTGTCTACTCATGTTTTATCTTGCTCAAGATTTTCTCTTTAACTTTCTAAATGGACGACATTGGTTTCTACGAAATATTCTATTGAAACTGCATATTCTTGGATTAGCATCAATTTATATCATTCAATGGGTAATTCTATGGACTTTTTGGGATCAGTATACACCCCATGAATGTTATTTTGAATTGACACTTTCATTTTCATCAATCTTTGCATTGATTGTATTTACTGGACATTTATCTGATTTAATCTGTGCACCGTTTCTAATGAGTTATGATTCAATTGAATATTGTTTACAATTTGGTTGTCCACTTCTAACAAGACAGGTACATGAATATTTTTTGTTTTCTAGCTTATCTAGTAATAGAAGATTTTAGTGAAATATTTGATTGTTGTATTTATTGAAGATGAAACAATGGAAAATAAATTTGCTCAATTACATTTTGTACGAAATTATCATATCAAATTTAACAATAATAGCATGGCGTGGTTTCTACCATTTTCTCGACAAACATTTGTATCCAGATAATTTTGCAATGTCAGCTGGTTTATGTTTAATTATTGGTTATGTTCTCTATTTTCCTTTAATGTATTTCCAAACATATTTCGAAGACTTACATTTGAAATATGAATTTTGGACATTTGTTTCAATTAACTTTCCACAATTCTATCGTAATATTCGTCATCTATTAGCATTTGTATCGTGTCTATTTATCTGGCGTGGTTTTTGGCTTTTATATGATACTTATATATATATATTTGAAGAATACTATCAGACGTCTTTAATGTTATTTCTAATTTCTTTTCTTGTATTAGCTTTTCTACAGACATCATCATCAACAAATGGACCATTAAGCAATATTACCGACGAGTATAATTTCTTTCCGCTTTATCCAAATTGTTATCTTTCAATTGTT